CCTGCAGGTACACCTCCGTTCTGCCAGGCGTCTCTGTGAGCTCTGCTGTGCCAACCGGGGCACCTTCATCAAAGTGGGCCAGCATCTGGGGGCTCTGGACTACCTTCTGCCAGAGGAATACACCAGCACGCTGAAGGTGCTGCACAGCCAGGCCCCGCAGAGCAGCATGCAAGAGGTCCGCCAGGTCATCCGTGAGGACCTGGGCAAGGAGGTAACTTTTTTTTTGAGGCAGAGTCTCACTCTGTTGCCCTGGGTAGCGTGCTGTGTATCATAGCTCACTGCAACCATAGCAACTCTTGGTGCTAAAGTCAAAGAGTGAGAAGGATCCTCTGTGGCCCTGAGTAAAAAATACTAGTTGAACCCTATGAAATTGTTCATGTTTGACTGTTTTTGACTTGCAACCTAATATGACTCGTAAAGTATTTCAGTCTCATAATGTCACTTACTGTGGGTTTAATGCCCCATTGAATGTTTAAATCAATAGCAGGGCTTTCAAGATACGTCCAGTCCCGTTTCAATCTACTTGTATGTTTTGTGACTCTACTTGCTGGGTAGAGTAGCATTGTGGCTAGAGTTTGGGCTCTGCAGCAAGGATCTTGGACCTTGCACCAATGATTGAAGCTGTTGATATCTCACTTTCTTTATGCACAAAATGGGAATAGCCATGGGGCCTACCCCATAGGGATACTGAAAGGACTAGTAGAGATGATGAATATAAAGTGCTTAGTAGTACCTGACATGTAGAGTGAACGCTCGACAAGTATTGCTGCTCTAGTATTTTTGTTATTTCCCTATGCTCTGGTCACATTGTGCTATTTGTCTCAAACTCACCATGTACCCTTAGTCCTTGGGACCTATGCTCATGGTCTGCCATCTCCCTGAATGTCTTTACTCCATTCCACACCTGTGATTCCAGGCGTCTATCCATCTAGCAAATGCCAGGGCGAATGCTTGACACTGACTTTCCCATCCAGCCCCCAGTTCTTCTATGAAGTCTGCTGTGACTCTCCCTAGACCAATCTTATCCTTCCTTCAGGTGCTGCAGAACTTTGCTCCTGGACTTGTGTAACTTGTGGCTTGGTTAGTTGTATCTAGGGTTTCCCCTGCAAGCTATAATGTCTTTGAGGGTGAAGATCATGGTGGTCCTTGTACTCTGTGTCTGTAGTGCCAGGACAGTATCTAGTATATGGTAAGTGTTAGAGTTTGTTTAATGAGCCAAGAGATGAACTAGGGCTGAGAGTAGGAGCAGAGGGTTGATAAAGACCACTGAGTTCCATTTTTATTGATCTACATGGAGCTGGCCCTGGCTATTGGTCCCTTAATGTGGAGCTGGACCCCAGGTACATGGTATGTGGCCACAGTTGTGCCACTCCTCAGTAACTGCAGGGTCTGGATGTGGGCCCAGACCAGGTAGGATGTGAGCATGGGAGTGTCTGTGACTCCTTTGCCCTTTAGGAACATTTTCCCCAAAGGGAGAGACATTGAGTGAAGGTAAAATTGATTTGGGGCCGGACGGAGGAACCTCAGGCAGAGGGGACAAGATTGGTGTGGTGCCAGCAGCACATAGCTTTGCCTTTTGCCAAGACTGTGGGCCTTTCCAACAGCAAGAGATTTACCCCCAAATTAAAACTAAATAAATCACTGTAATAACAGTGTGAAGTGCATTGTGGCTGGCATGTGGCAGCTCACTGGGGGTGGATGTGCAGGAGGGGAAGGCAGCAGCAGGTTAACCCCTGGAGGGTTAAATGACTTGTCTGGAAAACGAGGGTGGGAGAGGGCAGGATTAGAGCAGGTCGGCAGCTGCCTTCAAGCCAGGGTGAGTGATGTGCGAAGTCTGGGGTGTCAGCAGTCATGGTGGGCCCTCCCAGCCAGCTGAAGGACGTTTGGAGTCAGAAGATGTTGCCTGCATCTTGAGGCCTCTCTCCCAGCCCCACTGCCAGGTAGTCCTGAGTGTGGTGACCATGTGGTTGCTGCCCTACAGTGCCAAGAAAGAAAGGCTGACATCAAGGTCATGGTTCTGAAGGGCATCCCTCACAGATGAGAGGCTTCTTCAGAAACCGCTGGCTGCATAGCATGGCCCCACAGGCACACAAAGCCTTCCCTTCCCCTTTCTTTGGCTTCCTCCTCCTCCCTTGTGGGAAGATGGCATTTGTTCCCTGGTGACACACTTTCTTGGTCTGTGGGTGGAGGGAGGAGAAAGGGGCTGTGTGGGAGTGAGGGCGGAGGCAAGTCACTCACCGGCATGTTCCTCCTCCTCCCACCCACCCCCCCGATACTTCTCAGGGAGCAGTCTCACCCCCAGAAGGATTTCTGAGTGGGCCCCACTCATCCTGGGCTCCATGCCAGCCCTGGGACCATCCATGGAAAGCTCCATTTCATCCTAGTTTTGGGAGTGTGCTTAGAAAGAGCCGAGTCTGTCATGCATCACCATCCTCCCCTGGGAAGGTCCCAGTCCTTGGAGAGCCTTGAGGTTACCCTGAGCTCAGAGACCCCACATGTGCTCCAGAATGTCAGGCTGTGGAGAGGGGCAGGTGGGTAGAGAGGAGCTCAGGGGCAGTGTGCTCCAGCCTATGCTGGTCAGTTCCCATCAGCAGCAGCCTGTCCCTGTCCCAGACAGATGGGAGTGTCCCTGAGGGGTATCCCCAGTGTGAGAGTGGAAAATAGGGTTGAGGTTGTAGCACTTCAAGCCCCCATGACTTACATTTCATTCTGGATCAAAGTCGCTAGACACTAGCCGGCACTGTCAGTGTAGCAGTGAGGGCAGGTGAAGGGGCATCATTCTTGTATAGGATTGGCCTAGGCAGGAGTGTGCTGGTGGCCAGGGACACTGACAAGATCTTCTGACTCTCAGGCCAGTGATTCGTCCCTACACAACAGAGCTTCTTTCGGTTTGGCAGAGGGGGAAAAAGTAGTTTTGTGTATGTGTGTCTTGGAATACTCAGCTAATATTACCAGAAATAAACTTGATTTTTCCTTTTATTTTGATATTAGGCTTACATCCTGAAAGATAGGTTCCAGGAAGCAGTCAGGACCCCAGCCTCCAGGAGGTGGGATCATTTCTGTTTTCTCAAGGATGACCTTGGTCTGGATTAGGATGGAGATGGTCTCAGCTGCCCTTGGGGCTGTGTCCAGATGTAGTGCTGACCTTGGCCAGCAGATGGCGCCGGAGCTTGTGAGTCAGGGAGGGAAGTTGAGGACCTGGCCCTTCCCTGCAAGGGGAGCCCAGACTAAGTGGATGAGACTCAGGGTGCCTATCTGTGGAAGGAGTCTGAATAGGCATATACAGGCCTAACCCATGAGGCTGTTGACCATTCTGGCCCCCATGAGCCCTTGGCTCTGTTTTGGAGGAACTGGCACAGTTCTTCATAACAACCACAAACTCAGCCTTACGCCTCCTCATCTGGGTTAGGAGTTCCCCAGGCACCTGCAGGCTCTGACAACAGGTGATTCTGTGGTTCAATACCTTTTTCTTCATTCTTTCATTCCTTCTCTTTTTTTCCTTGTCCATGCATCTGGTACTTAGTGAGAAAGGCGCAGTGCTGGACACTGAGTATAGCTAAAGCATAAAATATGGAGAGTGAGGAACTGAAGGAAATGCAGCCAACTGCTGGGGTGGAGCAGTACTTGTATTGGCATCTGGAGTAGTGTGGTTTGGCTCGTGTGCTCAGAAACAAGTTTTGCCAGTTTTATACCCTTTGACATCCTCTCCCGGGGAATTTGATTTTATTGCTTCCCATAGTACCCAGGGGCAAGGGCTGTATGTTGCGTGCACTCACCGTTCTTGATGCACCATCTGCCTGGAGTTGGTGAGAATGCAGAAGAGGTGGTCTTGGGGTACGTTGTACACCAGATTGAAGGATGCACACCCAGGTGTTGTGTATGAACCCATGGGTACAAGTGGAAGGCAACTTTTTTATCTTGTTTCATTCAAGGTTTAAGCAAATGTTCAGGAAAGGAGATTAAAAAAAACCTCTTCCCCCAAGAACATCAGCCATTTATCAAGCTTGGTGGTGATGGCAGAGACAAGGCCTGGGAGGCGTGAGGACCAGCATGAGCAAAGGTAGAAGGGAAGAGATGAGGCAGGAGAACGCCTGGGCTGGGAGAGGGGCACACAGCACCTCTGCTGTCACATAGGGAACTGAGTGGATAGTAGGAAAGGGTGGCCCCATCAGGCATCCCTTCCTCCAGGCTATGGCAACTATGCCAGGGCTGAGATCTATTTCATTCCTACATTAGTCAGGGCTCTCCAGAGAAATAGAACCAATAGGATGTGGGCATGTGTATTGGCGCAGGGGGTGTTTAAAGTGGGGAGAGACTGATTGATTTTAAGGAATTTGGCTGATGTGATCGTGGAGGCTGGAAAGTCCAAAATCTGCAGAGTGTCCCAGCAAGCTGGAGACCCAGGAAGATCCGATGTTGTAGTTCAAGTTTGAAGGCTGTCTGGAGGCCATCTGCTGGCAGACTTCCTTCTTGCTCTGGGGAAGTCAGTCTTTGTTCCATTCAGGCCCTCATTGGACAGCACGAGTCTCACCTACATTATGGAGAGCAGTCTGCTTTACTCAAAGTCCACTGATGTAATTGTAAGTCTCACTGAAAAACACTCTCACAGAAACACCCAGAAGAATGACCCAATATCTGGGCCTGTGGCCTAGCAGATTGACACAGAAAATTAACCATAATTCCCCATGTGGCCCTTGG